TCGGACGTTAAAAGAACCAATACAATCGTTTTTAAAACGTTTTTTTGTAAACGTTTTTTTTAATGTTAATTTAAACGTTTTTTGAGCGTTTTATTTTTTTTAATAATATACGAAATTTCTCAGTTAGCTTGTGAACGTTTTTAAAACGTTTTTTAAACGTAATAAAAAAACGTTTTTTAAACGTACAGCACGGCAATATCTAAAAGGGTAAGTATGTTTACGCAAATAATGGCGTGACCTTCGATTAGGCGAATTGATTTATTTAAGTAAAAATTATATAAATTAACATATCTTTAAATCAACCATGTGTATTGTTTTCTTGTAGAATTAAATTTGAAAATATATTGGAGTATTTTTAGTTTAAAGTTGGATGCCTTCATTGAAACTAAGTTGTGTTTGTATTTCTACTTGAATCAACTTGAATCAACTTGAATCAAGTCTTGACTTTAAATATATTTTCAAATTTAGTTCTACAAGAAAACAATACAAACACTTGGTCAACTTTATTAATCATATCTACTTGATATGATTAATAAAGTTTTTATGATGTGGTTAACTAGATTATTTTACTTTATTAAATAACTTATTTTTGAGTAAACTTGATTGGTGTAGAAACTAGATTAAGTTTTTAATTCTACTTGATTATCAACTGCTTTTATTGCAAAAAAATTCATTTGGATTTGAGAAAAGGGAACAATATTCTCAGAGTTTTTCTTCTTTAACTCTAAAAATAAAAAATGATAATATCAGTGGGTTTTCTAAAGGAATTACTATAGCTGAAAAGGCTGAAAAGAAAAAATATGATGATTTGTTTCTAGAAAGTGAGTGACTTAGTTCAAAATCTCATTCCAAGATTTTTAATCTTTAATGATATTCTGGTGTTATTACCAATTATTTGGCAGTATGAAACCTATAATATTATATACCATATTATATACCCTATTTTACTTATAAAATTAATAATCTGTAAAGTAATTTGTAAAACATTTTTAATTGTAAAATTGCAAAATGAAAAAACAAGTTGTTAGATGAAATTCAAATATTCTCTATGCTTGTGTTATGTAGGTCAAAAAATAATAGATAAAGATGATATTGGTTGTGATGAACAAGCGATTCATTTTATAAAATGAATCGCTTGTCTTAAATTTAAGACACATCAATCTTTATCACCTTTAAATAAAAAAGATAAAAATGATGGATTTCCATTATCCAAGCAAGTAAGTCTTTAGTTAAAAATAATAATGTAATGTTTGTTGTAAAATACTAACATGACTGTCAATATTAAAAGATATCATTGATGAGGTTCCAATTTTAACTTTAAATAATCACCTGCATGAAATCCATTATTTTAATATTATCGAAACTATAAATCTATGGAACAATCTTTCTCGTCTAACCCTAAATCTGTAATATATAGTAAAATACTTTATTGTGACTATACCAAAAATTAGCATTGCCACAATCAATTATTTTACTGTCTATTAGTTTTTTTCTGATTTAGGGTTAGATCAGTGCAAATTATATGAAACAGGGAAGCAAGATAAAGGAAGCGAATTCCAAAGAACTGATGTTCGTGGAAAAAAATAGAAGAATAAGAGTTTTTGGAGCACTTAAAAACAGTCACAAGAGAACGAATTTTAGTAAATAAACAAGGGACGCTAGCTCTTTAGAGCAGTGCTCATATTTGTAGAAAAGAGAAAGAGAAGCACCATTACAACGATGTGATAATAGTTGGAGGTTGGCTGCAAGAGCAGGTTCAACTATGTTTACAATGCATTTTTGCTCCTTGTCTAAAAGAGAAAGGGCATCATTAGAACATCTGCCCCAGCGTTTTTTGCAGGGTTTAGTGCCACATGGTCTGTGTGTTTAGTGATTGTGATGTTATTGTTGTAATGTTTTGTGTTGATAGACAACTTGGCTAACCTTCTCGCTGGTGTCTATCGTTAAAAATGATTATTAGGTTGTTTCGTTACTGAGACTACGTCTAATCATTCACTAAAAGCCAAGAGATGAATTTTAGAATAACAATATTTTTTGTCTTAATGTTGTTTTCATTTTTTCATTATAGGTGTTGTCGATAGTTCACAAATCTCAAAAAATAAGTTTCTTATTTTATTTTTATTTAGTTTTAATTGTTAATTTATAGCTTTTTTTAATTTTTAAAATGAATTAACAAATATTTTTTTCAAAATTATTGTGTATCTAATGTTATTTGATGTAATATTGTATGTATTTTTTAATAATAATTTTATTACAATTTTAGGTAGAGTTCTGCTGTTACACCTGCGATTACTGTTGTAAGTACTCAAAATTTCAGGAAGTTCTGTTGCTGTAAGTTATTTTCATTCAAATTTAAATTTTAGTTTTATTAAAGAATCTTCTGTCTGTTAAATAGGCAATTTATGATTTATTTCAATAATAAAATCTGAATTTTTTTCTTTTTTTTCTAGAAGATTAAAATCTAAATTTATTTTTAAAAGACTAGGTAAATAAATAAAAACACTTCAGTCTGTAAAATTAACAATTCTGAATAATTTTGACAGATGTAAAAAAAATTATGGCATTTAATTTTCTTATAGTTATGTATCTCCATCAAAAATTTCAAGTCAAATGTAATAACAATTGGAAATTATCAAATATTTTTAAAGTCATATTGCCCAATTGGTCTGTGTAACCGTATACCTGTGTAATTTACTGACCGGTCTGTACATTGTGCTATAATTTCAAAATGATGTATTTATCAGATTCCATGATTCTTTTATGCATATTTTTATATTGTAACTCTAATTTTTGTTTATCATTAAATTATTATATAACTAAAAACACTTCAGTCTGTAAAATAGACTATTCTGTATGATCCCAACAGATTCAATAAAAACTGGATCACTATTTAAAATTTCAAGTCAAATGTAATAACGGTTCAAAAATATCAAAAATTTTAAAAAAATTACAAGTTGATATGTTTAATTTATTTGAACAACCCATTTTCAGCAAGTTAATGACCGAAAAGTAATTTATACGATTATTTCACTGGCCGGTCTGTAAATTACGCAATAGTTTTCAAATGTTTTATTTTTTTGGATTCCATGATTTTTTTATGCATATTTACATGGTATAATTATAATATCACCCCAAATTTTATTCTCCAAAACTAAGAAAATAATATAAAACCCTTCAGCTGTAAAATAGATGATTGGTTCTTTATTTTCTTATAGTTGTTGGATTACTATAGAAAATTCAATTGTAATAACGATTCAAAAGTTATTAAAAAGTCAGTATGACACTTAAAATGTATAAATTAGTAAAAATCCTGGTCTGTAAAATAGATAATTTCTGGTCAATCCTGACAGATTTCTAAAAAAAAAATTTGGAATTTTATTTTCTTATAGTTGGTCGGTCACTATGGTAAATTTCAAGTCAAATGTATTATCGGTTCAAAAGTTATTCAAATGTCAATAATACTTTTAATTTTGGTGCCATTTCGCAGTAAATTTTCCATACTTAAGCTATATACCTTTTGTCAAAAAATCGCCCATTTTTTTACTACAAAAAGTTCGATAACTTTTGATCAGTTTAACTTCAAAGGCCAAATGACCCCTCATTTTTTAAGTCAAACTAAACTCTATACAATGACATCAATTATATTTGAATATTTAAATTGTAAAAAAATCGTCTGGAATGGCTAACAATAGGTATGGGTATATATGCGTTAAATATATATATATTTATATATATATATATATATATATATATATATATATATATATATATATATATATATATATATATATATATATATATATATATATATATATATATATATATTTAACGCATATATACCCATACCTATTGTTAGCCATTCCAGACGATTTTTTTGCAATTTAAATATTCAAATATAATTGATGTCAGTTGCCACAAAAATCCCAAAAATCGCTCCAAAAATCCCAATTCTCATGATGTTTTTTTCCAAGAAACCAGATATGCAATTGCGTTTTTTTTACCAATAATGGCGATTTGATTTCATGTTTTACGCAATTAATTAATTATAATTTTTTAACGTTATTTTTCTATTAGTTTTGAATAAAAATTGATTTTAAATTATTTTTAGAAATATTATTAAATTTTAATTTGGAAACTTTATTTGGAAAATGGGTTTTTTTCATCTTTAAATTGGGAATTTTAATTTTATGAGCATTTGGGAAAACCGTGTTTGAAGGGGCGCCACAGAGCTAGTTTACACCCTGTATATATATATATATATATATATATATATATATATATATATATATATATATATATATATATGCAGTTATTTAAAGTGGGAATATATTGATTGATTGATTTAATTGCGTGTAATTGTAAAGAATTTTCTTTGGTTAATATTTATCATGGTTTGTTTGATAATTAGGTGTTGATTATTTCTAAATGCTCCTGCAGGACCTGGAGCTGATGCCATATGGATACATTTTTTGTTACAAGTAGAACAGTAATAACCCTACCCAGACAGCAAGCTTAAATTGGACCAATGTTAGGCCAATGCATGGTGATGCATTGGCCCAACGTTGAAAGTCGATGTTGGCCCAATGCAGGTTTGATCATTGGTTAGGTATTGGCCCAATGTTGTGTACAACATTGGCCCAATGTTGTATACAACGTTTACCCAACATTGGCACAATGTTGTATATAACGTTAGGCCAATATTGTATGTTATACGATTATTATTTTTATATTGGCCTAACGTTTTAAGCAACATTAGATCGTTGTTACAAATAAGATGATTTGCATCGCTACATTAAAAAATTATAGAGAAAAAAAAGAATGTATTATACAAGTATAAAAATTTATTTATTAAACATAATTTCTCGGTTAAATATACATATTGCAAACACCAAACTTATACCAAAAACTGACACATTGAGTTTTAAATAAAAAAATTCACTGTAAAATTTATAGAGTAGTTTCGATATTGACTGAGCTACTTGTTATTGAATCGTGTTTAGCTTATGATATTTGGTGCCCACGATTATTATTTTTTCTTCCGCTATTTGACTTCACAGTTTCTGCAAAAAAAATGCACCAAAGAAAAATAACAAATTGAAAGTAATTCTGCAATACAAAATTGAAACTGAAAAAATAAACTTTTCTAAACCACTTACCAATAGCAGCATATGCAATCAACATTTTTCCTATTCCAATTTTTTATCCTCTCCCTGCATAATTTAACTTTACAGCTAGGCCATTTTAATAAACTATTCTTAGTAAATAACATATACAATCTCCTCCGTCTTTAACTCCAATTTGTGCAAAATAATTAACTTGCAAAAACACACAGCCTAGCAGTAATTAAAGTAACTTTTGTTTAGACTTAAATTAATATAAAATGTCATTTACAAAAAATCTTCAAAGAGTATTTTATTTAAAGTATATAAATTGTACTACATATCATACTAAATGCATAAACAGATCATAAAAAAAATATTTACCATTTACTAAAGTGTTTTCTTGTCTTTTTTCTTCCAGAGTACTTAAATACAATAATTAGCATACCTTTGATACTCAAACTTTTATAACTGAATTTGATGTATTTTGTAGTTCACCAAGTTGCACTTCAATGCTTGCCCATTGTGCCAATAATACCAGCATATCTTTCAAGGATACAATTTTATCTTGAAACAATAAAGTTAATTATATTATTAAGAAACTATACAACTAACTATATATTATATTTAGAATTTATGAAAGTAAATACAACAATCACTAATAAAACAGATAAAATTAAAGACAGAGGGCTAAACTTTTAATGATCAAAATATATACTTGCTAATGGATTCATAATATTTTTATGAATTATGAAATTTGCAGGTGTGCATTCAATTTCTGGGACTGACACAAAACAATTCTTATTAATGTTTGAGATACACATTGCAATGTAAAACAAAAAAACTCATATTAAAACAATGTTTCTCCAACATGGTTCGTAGCCAACTATTTATATAAAATTAAATGAATTTTTTGAAAAATCAGATGAATTTCCCTAACGATTTTTAACAATGGTTTTTACAAAATGTTTAAAATTACTATCTACTGTAATGGAAATGCTAAGAATATACATGCTTTGAATGACAAAACTTATAAAACTTAGCTATTACTTAAGTTAGATATTAGTATAGATCTTATTATACATGTTAGTATGGTTCTTATTGTTAAGGATGATTAAGAATAAACACTAAGAAAAACATATTTCAGAAAAAAAAAATTAGTAGCACCAAAAAAAACATAATAGTTTAATTGAGCGCTGTATTTTGAAAATGAAAATGAAATTTTGTTTTTATTTTAACTAAAAATTATTTTTTTTATCAAAAAAAAATCTTTATTTTATCTAAAAAATCTTTTTTTTATCTTATAATTTTATCTTTTACTAAAAATAATATTCTTTTCAAATAACCTCAATTTTAAAAAGTGTGACTCTTCACGTTTTCAAAATACAGCGTTCAATTGTGAAATGAGCTTCTTAACTAGAATTACTGACTTTTCCATGACTATCTAAAAAAAAAAATAATTCCCTGACTTTTCCAGGTTTTCCACCACTTTGGCCAATATAAACATATTTTCCAGATTTTCCAGGTACAGTGAATTTTAATAATACAATTTAAAAAATAATTTCATCTATAAAAATATTGTATTACCTTTGTCTATTAGATAAATTTAAATAAACGTTTATATAATAAATAATAATGAACCACCAGCAACTGTTAAAACTTTGAACTGATATGAATAGTCTGTTGTTTTTTTCAACAGTTGATTTCAAAGTTGGTGACTTTGAAATCCAACAAAAAATTTTTGTTACGTTCATAAACATAAATGTTCTCAAAACGACTAAAATTTTTATAAAATAAAATGTTAATTGCACTCTGACTTTTTGACCGTAATATATGAAAAAGTCTTTAAAATTGTAAAAGTTAAAGCTATGAATAAAGATTTTCAATCATCAGACATAAAGAATTTTATATAAAAACTTACCATTTACCATTTTGTTCATTCTCAGAGCAAACATTGAACTTCTGTAAAGAGTTTGTAGTTACAGGTAAATCCCAAAGTTTAATAATATTTTTAGTTTTATTATAAGAAATTGAGGATAAATGATCTACACCACAATATACACAATTTTTTGTCTCTTTAATCTTTATTTTAGCTGGTTATTTTTGCTATCTTCCTTTTTTGTCTCCAGAGCAGAAGTTTAGCCTTCTGCTAAATTCAATCTTGTATTGGTATAAAAATCTATAAATCAAATTATTAATAATTAAGTTATAACGAAAGTTAATGTATAAGCTTAAAGTTGTTAACTGCTGTATGCAAACTAATTATAAAAAATATCCAGAGATATTAAATTAAAAATTATAAAACCAAGAATAATGTCCCTCTGCCTCAGAAAGATGGAATATATAAAGGGTTGTTTCAATTTAAATCATGATTTAAATCAGACAAATAAAAATAATGATTTAAATTGAGTCTTTTTATTTCAATTGATTTTAATGATTATTTATTGATTTAATCTCATAATTCAATAAATTATTATAGACTGGTCATTGGTCTTAAAACAAAATGTCTGGCAATATTAGAAAGCTCTACATAAGTAGAATATAAATTCTAATAACATCACTTTTTGTACACTGTTTTAATATTTTAGTAGATGGGGTTTCACAATCGAACAAAAAAGACATACTTAAAATGTAAAATATCAGCTTCTAACAACTTCAATACCACATATATATTACTGATACCTTTAATAATATATCTTATAATAGCTATATAATCTAAACTATTATAAATAAATTATGAAAAAAAAATTTTTTCAATACTTATACTGTATGACATTTCAAATGTTTGATATATTTAATAAAGAAGAATTTAAAATGTCTTCTTTATTAAATAAATCGAATATTTGAAATGTTACATTTATTTAATAAAGATTATTAAATAAATCAAACATTTGAAATGCTAATACAGCAATAAGTATAAAAAAAATAACTTTAAGATCTTACACAAAAATAATTTAATTATTACCTTTATTATTACATTAATAATTTACATTGTAGTAAAAAATGTTTCAAGCATATTATTTAACTGTTAACAAATATTTCATTGTTAAAAAAAAAAACATTAAGTCACGAATCTCTTGAAATTTATTTCATATAACGAACCTTTTAAGATTCTTAGAAGATTCATAAATATAGCTTCTTTTTTTTATATATATAATTAAAAAAAATGGAAAGATAATATCAAAACTTTTTTTTAGTCTGTCAAACGATACCATTTTAAAAATGTTTTAAAAATATTTACTAATCCGCAACTACATTGGCCGAATATTGGCTACGGCTTAAATGTAAGAACAGCAAAATATTAAGCCTAAACTACATTGGCCAAATGTTGGCCCAACGTAGTACGATAATTTCAAAAAACCGATTTGTAGAATTACAGTATTACGCCGAAGTAAAAACATTGGCTAAATGTTGGCCCAATATAGTACGATATTTGCAAAAAACCGATTTGCAGAATTGAAAATAATACGTCAAAAAAAAACATTGGCTAAATGTTGGCCCAACGGAATAAACTTGCCAATGTTAAAACTTACATTGGGCCAATGTAAGCTTGCTGTCTGGGTAGGAGTTTTCATCAGTTTTATTTTTTTATTAGCTATTTTTATTTAAAAAAAAGCACAAGTATGCCATCAAAGGCAACTACTGTTCCTATGATGGCATAGGGAAGGATGGGGCTGGTTAGCATCATGGGTAACATGACGGTTTTTATTTGACCTTTAAGTCTTCCCTCATAAATACCAGAAATTACGCGTAATCACCCTAATTAATCCTTTCGTAGTGTAGAATTTTAGTGCAGCAGTGTAGAATTTTCGAAGTGCAGCAGTGTAGAATTTCGCGCATGCGCATAAGATATACTGCGTTTTATGTGTTTTTTGAACCAAAAATTTTTTAGTGAAGTAAAAATTTCCTAACTCGTCAGTATGCCATCGTTTGAAAAATGTATCCATATAAAAATAGAAAGAAGTCATCATTTTTTTTTAAACAAGCTTGTTCAAAAAATAAAATAAAAATAAGTATTCCACGAAATGCACAAACCTTTTTTTGCCATAATCAATATTAATGAAAATATGACCGTATATATGGGAGGTTGGGACTCCTTTGTTTATACACCAAACTATTTTTTTTTAACTTTCTATCTTGAACGAGATGGTATTAAAAGTCCAAAGAAAACTTTCATATTGCAAAAGTATACTGTTACTCCCATATAGCTAAAAGTTACTGCCATATTGTTTAAAGTAACATTTACTGCCATATTGCTAAAAGTAGTTATAATCAAACAATAAAAAAAGGGAAATCAAAAGGTAATTTCTAATAGACATTCATTTATAATTTATAATGGATTTATAATTTATAATGGATGATAGCTAATAGACACGGAAGAAGAAGCCTAATATACTTTTGTTGCTCTTTTAAAAAAAAAATTCATGAAAGGAAAGCGTACTTCTAATAAATAACAAATATTATTTGTTAAAAATATGATTTTGAAAAAATATCATTTGAAATAAAAAAACAACAAAAAAAACAGAAAAATTAAAGTAATTAAAGTAACTAAAGATTTTAAATTTTCATAGAAGTTTTCTATAAAATTGAAGTTGACATTAGGAATAATAAAAGGAATAAAGTTGAAATTAGAAATAAATATCTCCATATATTAATCGGATTAATATACGCAAATATTTGTTTCTGCAGATATTTATATCTGCAGATGATAAATTTAATTTTAAGTCTATTTCTTGAAAATTAACAAAAAAAACTACGACCCACTAGCCACTGAATACATTACATATATAGACTTAAAAAAGTAATCTAAGCGGCGCCGGTCGTTAAAAGACAGGCTCGTAGCAACCAGGGGCAGGGGGCATTCCCCCACCAGCCCACCACCCTTACCCAGCCACCCACCCACCATACCACCACCCACCCCACACTTCCCCCGCACTAACAATATTTCAATTAAATAATTTTGAAAATATTGACAGAAAAAATGACAGAAAAGGTCCTTAAAACTATTTCGGGGCTTCTTAATCAGCACTGCCAAAATAAAATTTTTGTTCCTACGGGCCTGGGAGATGCAAAGGTTGAATTTAAAATCATAAAGTAATGAGTAATTTTATTTTAATGTGCCGCTTTAAATTTATTTTTAATGTGTTGCATGAATGCGCATTTTGTTAACATTTGTTAACAATTGTTAACAATTGTTAACATCTAATCACTTTTTAAAGTTATTTTTTAATATAATTATTTGTTATTATTTATTTTTTGTTATTTAGGTTACATTAAAAATATTTATTTAAATTGGCAGTTGAAAAAAATTGCTTAAAGCGCGTTTTAAAAGAAAAAAAAAAAATCGCGAAAAATGAATCAAGCCCACGGAGAGAGTTGAACTCTCGACCCCTAGTTTACAAGACTAGTGCTCTAACCACTGAGCTACGCGGGCTCTACCTCTTCGCTGAAAAAGTATAATAGATAACCAATTTATATAATAAACTTTTATTTAACTTTGATGTGTTGACTGTAAGTCAGTGGTTCCCAACCGGTGGTCCATGGACCCCTGGAGGTCCACAATAACTTTTTAAGCGGACCACAAGATAAACGTAAATTCTAAATATTTTTTGGTAGTGAAACTTAATTTTGATTATTTTTTTCTGTTGAAAGAAACAAATTAAATTTTAAATTAAAAATGTAATTTATGCGAGAAAGCTGTTACACAAAATTTGCGTTAACTAATTCGACGAGGACTTGCGGACCTCTACAAAGTAATAAATGCTATATAATATCATTTTTTATCCGTAAATTTAAAATGTTAAAATCTTATCTCATGGTAAAGATAACCTTACTGATTTGTTTGAAAGAACGTAATTTGTGTTATTTTCTATAAAAATTCGATACTATACTATTCTTATCTATAGATGCTTTTTATATTATTTTTTAAATACTTTAGATGTCTAAAAGTAAAAAAAGGTCATACTTAGATGAATACATGAGATATGGATTTACCTACATGCTTAAAGAAACCATTAGCTACCCACAGTGTGTTATTTGTTATAAAGTACTAGGAAATGACTCTATGAAACCTTCAAACCTTGCTATTCACTTGAATAAGTGCCATCCTGATCTCCAAACAAAAGATACTGATTT